GAGAGAGAGAGAGAGAGAAAGAGAATCTACACTGCCTGGGCTTCCAGGAAAAAGCCTTCGAACCTGTGGGCTAGGGCAGCTAAACCAGAAATCGACACCCGAAAACCCTGGGCCCTAAACCGAAAGTCCTAACTGTACATGTTAAAAAAACCGCAGAACCAGAACCGGCGGGGAGGACCTCGGGAAGTAGCGCCATTGCAGCTCGCTAGGCGCAAGGGAGGCTGGAGAGTGGCAACGGCTTGGAGCCGAGGGGCGGTTGGAGTTCAAAAACTTTCGGGCACTCCAGGGCCGGATGGAATGGGGCTTAAGGAGCTGAGCTTTTCGGTTTAGGGGTTTAGGGTTTAGGTGGCTGTGAATTGAGTAATTGAATAAACTGGGCTTTGCGCGTGGTGTTTACTTGAAGGCTCAGGTACTTAAGTGGGTGTAAGCAGAGATAGCAGTGACCCAAGCGGGGTTATTACTCTTTCATGTGGTGCTTGCGAGTCCCATGGTCCTGTAAGCAGGGCTTTCGGGCTTCAGGGTTGTGGGACGTAGAGTGCAGGTTTCGGTGCATGTGGCTCTTAGGTTGACGGTGAGTTCAGCTGAGAGGGTAGCAGGCTGCGCTTGTCCTTTTCATCATCAGAAATCCTACATCACCGACTAAACGCTACTTCGTACCCGACGAGTCGCTGTTTATCTTGAAAAGCTCGGACCGCATCAGCAACGAAGGCAAGGCACATCGAGTTGGAGCTAAGACCTGAGACTCGAGTCTATGAAGCTCGCATGAATAGTACCAGGATCCTTACTTTGTGGAAGCGTGAGTCTTCAGCAAATCTCAAAGTACTTCGGCGGATACAGGGCATCTATCTCAGGACCCACCAAGCCACCACGCGTTTAGCCCCACTCACCCTGAACCCCTAAACCCTAAACCGTGGCTCACGCAAAAAGGGGCTCCTCCACCCCCAGGCCCTCCAGCGCTTGCCAACGCTGCCTCAGCGATGTGGCAGCCTCAGCACTGCCCAGCCTCCAGGGGGCAGCTTAGGGCTTAAGCTTAAGGCTTAAAAGGCTTAATTAAGGTTTCAGTTTTAGGGCTTTCAGGGTGAAGGGTTCGGGTCTTCGGGTTAAGGCTGGAGGCTTGGAGGGTTCCTATGAGGATATGGGGCTGGCGGCATCACGCTGCAGCCGGCAACCTAGATAAACCCACCTCTAGTCACCAAAGCCCGCTCAGCAAACCTGACTTACAGCTGTAGTATTCACGTGTCGCAGGAGTGACAGCGCGAAGAACCCTACACTAAACCTTAAACCCCTGTATACTCAACTACCCTAAACCCAATCTACCCCAAACCCTTAAGCTTAATACTTAATGCCCTAAACCCCAATAAATCCTGAACCACTCCCGGAACTCAATGCCCGAGACCCCAAGCCCTTAACCCAAAGCCCTAAATCTTGAACCCTAAATCCTGAACCCAAAGCCCTAAGCCCTAAACCCAAAGCCCTGAATCCTGAACCCAAAGCCCTAAACCCAAAGCCCTAAATCCTGAACCCTAAGCCTGAACCCGAAGCCCCGAGAGCTCAAACGATCATCCGCCTCTTCACCGGCAGCCCTTGAGCCTCCCAGGCCTCGAGTTAGGGCTTAGGGTGTCGTGGGTTTTGGGGGTTTGGGGGGGTTTGGGGGGTTTTGGGGGTTTTAGGGGGATTAGGGAGGTTTGGGGGGTTTAGGGTTTAGGGCTTAGGGTTTAGGGTTTAGGGGGTTTTAAAGGTTTTGGGGTTTTAGGGGGTTTGGGGGTTTAGGGGGTTGGGGGGTTAGGGGGTTAGGGGGTTTAGGGTTTAGGGTTTGGGGGGTTTTGGAGTTTAGGGGTTTTGGGGCTTTTTTTCGGTTTAGGGGGTTTGGGGGTTTTGGGGTTTGGGGTTTAGGGTTTAGGATTTAGGGGGTTTAGGGCTCAGGGTTTAGGCTTTCAGGTTCAGGCTTGAGGACCCAAGAGGCCCAACCGGGGGTTTAGGGCTCAGGGTTTAGGGTTTAAATGGGC